TTTTAAATACGCTGTGGTGCAGCCTTTAATTAAAAATGCTAATTTGAACCCAAATGAGTTAAATAATTATAGACCTATTTCAAAATTGTCATTCCTCTCAAAGATATTAGAGAACGCAGTTCTCATTCAGCTGTAGTCTTTTTTGAATGAGAATTTACTTTTTGAAAAATGTCAGTATGGTTTTAGGAAACACCACAGTACAGAATCTACACTTTTAAAGGTTCTTAATGATATTTTATTAACTGTAGATTCTGGTAATGCCGCAGTTTTGGTGTTACTCGATTTGAGCGCGGCATTTGATACCATAGACCATGCAATTCTTATTGCACGGTTGCAGAAGTTGGTGCCAGGTGTGGTTTTAAATTGGTTTAATTCCTATCTAACTAACAGAAGTTTCTCAGTCTCCATGGGGGAATTTACATCTTCGTCTGCACCTCTTAAGTGTGGGATACCTCAAGGGTCCATTTTGGGACACATTCTGTTCTCACTATACATGTTTCCAATTGGCGTGATCTTTCGAAAACACAGAGTATCATTCCGTTGTTATGTAGATGATAGTCAGATATACATGCCAGTAAAAAGGGATGAAAATTGTTTCGTCACAATAATGAGGTTTTACTTTAAGTTTCATCATACTCAGAAATTCCTGTAGAGGGCAGTGTAGTGTGGTGACTGGACGGGAACCGTTGAGAGGGTTTGTTTCCAAGGGGGAACAATAAAGTGGTGCACCTCAAGAGCACAGCAGGTGAAAAGTTTGGAGAAGATCTCTTGCTGGACTTTCAAAGAATTTCACCCACATTCAGTTAAAAACAAATTCAAACTTGAAGACGCAACTGGTATGAACATGGATTTATTTTTTGATGTAAACTATAAGTTGTAAGAGATTAATATTGTGTTTCAGCATATTTGATGAATTTTGCTACTTTGCTTGCTACAGTACTGATTGATGCTAAGATTTTGTATGATTTGGTGTGATTTGAGGGAAAGTTGTTCATCTTTATTATATTATTGTGTTTCTTTTGTCTATTTTTATCTTTAAAGATTATCAACCTATTGCTGATGTATTGCTGATCTATTCCTGACCTATTGCTGATTACTGCTTCTGCAAATACCTCTGCAATCCCGGAAAATAAATAGTCAAGTCAATGAGTTGCCTTCTCTTGCGTCCTTCATTGTTTGAACGCCATATCAAGTTTGGGCAGAGTTGAATAAAAAAGTGGGAAACTTGACAATAATTCTATAGGGCCTCTTTTAGCATGCTTGATGAGTTGAAAACCTGGCTGGCTGCTAATTTTTTGCATTTAAATGAATGCAAAACTGAGATCATTGTGTTTGCACCATCAAATGGATCTGAGTTCCCCTGTGTTGACTTAGGACCTTTATCTATTTATGGTCGATCAATGGTGAAAAACTTGGGGGTAATTTTTGATAGCTCACTAAAATTTGACAAACAAGTTAACGCTGTTGTTCAATCAGGCTTCTTCCAATTAAGAACCTTGGCAAAAGTCAAGCAATTTCTGTCAGTAAAAAGATTTAGAGAGAGTGATGCACGCATTTGTGACCTCACGTTTGGACTACTGTAATGCCCTGCAGGGATAAATCAATTAACATTGCAAAAGCAAAAAGAAAAAAAAAAGCCGGATACTGGTCGATACATCTTGATGAGGAGTCCCAAATTCTAACCACGTTCCGCACTCCTTTTGGCAGATACTGCTGGAGACGCTTACCATTTGGTCTCAGTGTGTCCCAAGACCTTTTCCAAGCCAAAATGGACCAAATTCTTGAAGGTCTTCACGGTGTAATCAGCATAGCAGACGATGTTGCAGTTTGTGGAGTTGACGAAGAGGAACACGACAGGAATCTGACAAGCCTGATGGAAAGAGCTGTAGAAACAGGTCTGGTGTTTAACAGTGACAAATGTATCATCAAACAGCAGAGCATATCCTTTTTTGGCAACCTGTACACAGACAAAGGCATCAGACCAGATCCAGCCAAAATCCACGATATACAAAAAATGCCAACACCACAAAGCAAAGATGACCTTCATCGATTCATGGGTATGTTAAACTACCTGTCACCCTACATACCAAAGTTTGCTGATAAAGCTCATAATCTGAGAGGATTGTTAAAAAGTGACTCACAATGGGTATGGGACACTGAGTATCAGCAATACTTCGATGACCTAAAGAAAACAGTGACTGTTGATGCTTGCTTGAAGTACTACAATCCAGCAGCCACCCTCACACTGGAGGTAGATGCATCACAGAGAGGCATTGGTGTAGCACTGGTGCAAGACAACAGGCCCATTGCTTTTGGTTCGAAGACATTAACAGAATGTCAATCAAGATACAGCAACATTGAAAGAGAAATGCTTGCTATTGTATATGGTATGCAGCGATATCACACATACTTGTACGGCAAATCATTCATCGTAGTAACGGACCACAAACCTCTCGTCACCATATGCACAAAGCCTCTGCATGCTGCTCCTCCCAGGCTACAACGCATGCTGATCAAAACACAGGGATACAATTACAGCATCGTGTATCGTCCTGGATGTCAAATGATTCTAGCTGACACTCTCAGCCGCCTGCCAAACCCTGAAAACAATGAAGACATTGAACTTGATGAACGCATTGATGGGCTGGATACAGAGTTTGAAGACCCTGAGCATCATACTGTTGCAATTGTGAACTTCTCCCCAAACAAACAGGAGATTCTCAGAACTGAGACTGCAAAAGACCCCAAGCTCAGTGCGCTAAAAGAAATCATCCATCAGGGATGGCCGGACAGAATTCAAGACCTGCCAAAAGACCTACGCAGCTATTGGCCTTTCCGAGATGAACTTGCCATAGAAGCCGGAGTTGTATTTAAGGGCAGACAAGTGCTTATCCCAGAATCCATGACCAGCGACATTCTGACTCAACTCCACGCAGCCCACCAAGGTATCGAAAAAACACGCAGGTTGGCTAGAGAAAGTGTGTATTGGACAAAGATAAACACAGACATTGAGAAACTGTGCAGATCTTGCAGTACCTGTGCAGAAAATCAAGATGCACATCCAAAGGAACCTCTCATTCCACACAAAACACCCACAAAGCCATGGCAATACCTGGCGTCAGATCTATTCGAGATCCATGGACATCAGTACCTACTTACCGTGGACAGGTATTCCAAGTACCCATTAGTTGATGAAATGCCCACACCAGTAAGTAGCCATGCAGTTGCACAAAAAATGCAAAGTTACATGTCTTTATTTGGTCGGCCAGATGAAATAATGACAGATAACGGACCACAGTACACTGGACAGTCTTTCAGGAAGTTCATAGCGGATTGGGGAATAGAACACATCACAAGTTCACCACACTACCCAAAAAGCAATGGATTTATTGAAAGACATGTGAGACACATCAAATCCATCATAAAAAAAACAATGCAACACAAAGGAGATGTACAAGTGGCTCTGATGCAGGTGCGAGCGACACCCATTGACAGTGATTTACCATCCCCTGCAGAATTACTCCTTGGCAGACCAATCACCACACTCCTACCAAGTCATTCAGATCCAGGTAAACTTGAACACAGACAGCACCTGGAAAAAGGGATTACAAAGATGAAAACACACCATGATCAATGTAGTGGCAGAGACTTACCACCATTGTTTCGTGGACAGAGTGTGAGAGTACTGGACAAAGAGAAGAAAACATGGCACCCAGGTACTATTGTGGAAAGATGCAAGGAGCCGAGAAGTTACCTGATCCAAACACCAAATGGAAACACAGTCAGACGTACTAGGAGCCAACTCCGTGAAATGTATGTACCACACACACAGAAAGTCCAGAAAAAGGTACAATTCGCTGAAACACCCAAAAGAGATGTGGTTGAACAAAGCCACAATAATCCAGTTGAAAACAAAATCACACAACCTCTTGAAACAAAAGCAGACAATACAGGTACTGAGACAACAAGACCAACATGCACAAGGTCTGGACGGATCATTGTCAAGCCAGTGCAATACAGGGACTATGTGTAAAGCTGAATTAATAGTCAAGCAGTAAAAAGAATACCAAATATGGACTGAATGCTTATTTTGCACATATAACCACCAAACAGGTTGTTATTGTTCATTATTGTTGGAATGTGCACCCTATTGAAAAAAAAAAAAGCTTGACATATTTTTGTTAAGAATCTTATGTTAAACCAATTTTGTTGATGTATTAGTTGTCTGACGTGTTTACACATTTATGTTAAACAGGGGGGATGTTGTGATAGTCTACGTAATACTATGTACGTAAGACGCTGTGTGCGTGTACCGGAAATGTATGCTATGTTGAACATGTGAACCCCGAGTAAAGAAGTTCATACACCCACCTCTGATGCTGTCGAATAATACTTCACTGCCTGTCTGTATTTGTTATGTTATGTTAAACGCTTTGCATTGGAACTTTGGACTCATCTTCTTCTGCACCACACCCTGACAGTGCTCTTATATTGTGATAGAATTAAGTCAATTAAAGGGACTCATGAAAAAAAGCAAACATTCACTAATGTTCAAGAACGCAACACAATCAAATAAGAGCCAGGATAGTGATGTGTAAATTGTCTTTTTTTTCCCTCTCATTTAGGACTGTGATTCAAAAGCCTCAGTCATGAGATATTAAGCTTAATATATATTTATTTATTTATTTTACATGCTGCTGGAAAAGTATCACAGTTTGAGTAATCTTAAACTTAATTGAGACCATTGAATCTGATCTGAAATCTACTTCCAAGGGACAAAAGAGGAAATAACCATAATATCAAAAGGAGTGAATAAAACAAGTTTTGCTCATACAGTATTTTCAAACTAAAAATCTGAGTTGCCTTTTTAAAATATATTATATATTAAGTTTGGTGTACTTTGGTTGTCATATCATCTGGTGAGGATCAGTCAATGAATAGCTTGATACATTTTGATGAATGACTAGCTAAAAAGAATTTAGAACAAACTCACCATTAAATCACAGCAGTCTGGACAGAAGGATCAGAGTAACTTGGTCAAAACTGTGTGACAGTATGACCAGAATCAAAGGACAAATAGAGGAACGTGGGCACTGGGGCAGCAAAGCAGAGTTTCTTCTGGCTGTGGCAGGGATTGTAATTGGTCTGGGTAACGTCTGGAGGTTTCCATACCTCTGCTACAGGAATGGAGGAGGTATGAGGCAGCTTAAATACACAAATGCTGTTTTGTCTACTTTACCTTTCTGGTATTATAATATTTTTTATTGTACTGATGTGTTCAGGGGCATTCCTAATACCCTACCTGGTGTTTGTGATTACCTGTGGGGTGCCTCTGTTCCTGCTAGAGACAGCTATGGGACAGTACACACAGGAAGGTGGCATTACATGTTGGCATCGCCTCTGTCCACTGGCTGAAGGTGAGTTAAAATATTTAAACACTTTTTAATTCATTTTATTTGCTTTTTTTTGTGCAGGTGGGATTTGCACAGGCAAGCAAAATTTTCGATTGGTCAAAAACCCTGGTGATGTTTTTCTGCTTTTGTCAGGTATTGGCTATGCAGGACAGCTGATAATTCTGTACAGCTGCATGTATTACATCATCATTCTGGCCTGGGCATTTTTCTACCTCATCTTTTCTTTCAGCTCCCAACTGCCATGGGACAGCTGTGATAACACCTGGAACACAGGTGATAGTTTGAAACAACACTCACCTAAAGAAGTAACATCTTCTGAATATCATATCTAATATGCTGCAGGGGTTTGCAAACCTTTCTCTCTCTCTCTCTCTCTCTCTCTCTCTCTCTCTCTCTCTCTCTCTCTCTCTCTCTCTCTCTCTCTCTGTCTCTCTCTGTCTCTCTCTCTCTCTCTCTCTCTGTCTGTCTCAGATGATTGTGTAAATCTCGCTGCAAGGAACCTGACCCTCAACTGGACAATGCTGAGTAATTCAACCTCTGCAGTTACTGAGTTCTGGAAGTAAATAAATAAACATAAAAAGATTTGTTAATAATAAAATCAAATCTTGCAAGAACATTCCACATTAGCAAATTATAAACTATGATAGTTGCTCTTTTTTGTCAAAATTTTAGACACAGAGTGCTGGCTCTCTCTGGGGGTATTGAGGAGATTGGTAAGATCAACTGGGAGATTCTTCTGTGTCTCGTTGGAATGTGGATCATATGTTATTTCTGTGTCTGGAAAGGAGTCAAATCTACAGGCAAGGTGTGCAAAACTGTCATTGAGGAGAATTTTGTCTTAACACGTTAAAGATTTCACAAAATGTACTTATTTCTTTAGTTTCTCTATTTTCGTCATTTACAGTTTTTATATTAAAATATTTTTGCATTCATTATGGAATGTCAGTACAGTATTTTGCCTGTTTGTTGAAATTAGTAAAACTATTATTATGCATTTTAACCTTTCTTGTATTTTGCCTGTAGGTGGTGTATTTCACAGCCACATTTCCTTATGTGATGCTACTGGTGTTGCTGATTCGTGGGTTGACTCTTCCTGGAGCTCTGCAGGGGGTTGTGTTTTACCTGTACCCTGAACCGGCCCGCCTCGCTGACCCACAGGTAACCCCACCATGTGCCCTTTCCTGGAATCAGGCTTAATAACCCTTACACATAGACTATATTGATATTTCTGTATACATATTTTTTTTTTTTTTTTTTTTTTGCGTAGTCTATTTAATTACATTCATTTTCTTGTAATAAGTAGCAAAACAAAATTTTAATTTTGCAGACATCAAATTAGCACTAATATTAAAATTCTTGAGCCCCTTCTCAAGTCCTTACTCCTACTGTGTTGTGCATTTAGGTTTGGATGGAAGCAGGAGCTCAGATCTTTTTCTCATATGCTTTGGGTACTGCCTCTCTTACTGTATTAGGCAGCTACAATAAATATAACAATAACTGCTACAGGTTAGTTCAGTTCGATAATATGATATTTCTTTCAGTATCTTTCTTTTTTTTAAGATTCTCTTGAACTATACTGCATGTATACTGCTACCTTTGTTTAAGTACTTCAAAAATATTCTTACTTCATTGTATCTTATGAAAGGTATGGTGTGTCTAAGTTGCATTAAAGGGGCACTTGGCAACTCTAGTTTTATCTTCGATGATTTCCACTTTTGTTGTGGCATGTGTTCTCATCAGCGCCCCCTACAGCTGTGCGGCATAGCTATATTTCACAATTTCACTTGCAGCGCCCTCCTCCCGCTTTCTACCGCTGCTCATGTGCTTCTGTTATTATCGGAGCCGGCCAACTCTATCGTGTGGAGCTTTGTCTACCGAGTGGGTAATAGATCATACACAGTATCATAGAATTATGTCGAATTAGCCGTAAAGCAGTTTTTGTTTCTCGCTCGTTCTCGCTTATCACAGACTAATATTTCCAACTTACCGGGACGTTAGTCCTCATGTTGCAAGGTTGGTTTTCCAACTGGGGATGCTGGGGGGAGCGGGGAAAGCCAACATTCTCAACAGGTTATTGAACCATTCAAATGATTTCTAGATGGTTTTATTAAGTAGAAATAGTTGCCAAGTGCCCCTTTAACTTATCAGTAATGGACCTCAGGGTTCGTTTGGCCCCCTCTTCTCTCTTCTACAAAACATAATTATTGATTTTCACACCAAAGGGTTGTATAATCTATGTTTTCCCTATAGGGACAGCTTATGGCTTTGCCTTCTGAACAGTGGCACCAGTGTTGTGGCTGGCTTTGCTGTCTTCTCAGTTCTGGGCTTCATGGCTCAAAAGCAGGGTGTATCCATTGAGGAAGTGGCAGAATCAGGTACTTTCTTTGAAATCTTGTAAAGCTTTAGAACTAAATACTCAATAAAACATTCTATCTCTGTCTTTTTTTTCAGGTCCAGGGTTGGCTTTCATAGCTTATCCACAGGCAGTAGCTATGATGCCTTTCCCTCAGTTGTGGTCTGTTTGTTTCTTCATCATGATTATTTTGCTGGGACTAGATACACAGGTGAGCTGAAATTCCAACCTGCACACAGAGGTGTTAAACCTAAGTTAAAGCCTTTCTAAGTTGGAAGCTATGTAGATGTAATATACAGAACTTCTTCTGATGCACTTTCGTTCTGCATCCCCCAAAGTTTGTTGCGATGGAAGTTTTTATGACCTCAGCGATGGACCTGTACCCCATGGTACTGCGCAAAGCTGGACGTCGAGAAATATTTCTTCTGCTTTTCTGTGTTTTTTGCTTCTTCTGCCAACTTGTCATGGTTACAGAGGTTTGTATAACTTTTCACGTACATACTTTCAAACCTTTAACATTGTATGCTGTATACGTTACAAACTACTATTTTTGAAAATAGTAGGCAACTGAGTTGTGATTTTGTGACCTACAGGGGGGGATGTATGTATTCCAGCTGTTCGACTACTATGCCTGCAGTGGAGCCTGTCTTCTTTTCCTCTGTGTTTTTGAATCTTTGGCCATTGGTTGGGTTTTTGGTGAGTTGAACAAAAGCTGTTTTTTTGCAGTTGTTCAACTGTTCTTGTTCAGTCATGAAACTCTAAATTGTGCAAGCTGATAGTCCTTTACATGCAATCTGCAAGCTGTCTCACCATTACCAGAGGGTACAAACTGATTGGTCTCTGCTGATTCTGCAGCCAATCAAATTGCTTGCTTAACATTTAATAGTCTGGTTCAGTATTTGCTGTAAGTTGGTCATTCATTAGAGTTCATCTGAAACCCTCTACCTCCCCCAGCTCCACCTGCCTAGAACTATGACTATTCATGAGGTAGCTTACATACTCACAACGTGTATGTAGCCTATATCTAATTACTGTAGCAAGTCAAGACTTGTTCTGCAGCAGCAGCATGTGTAGCAGATCTGGTCTGTCAATACCAAATACATTAATATTGCCATATTATTAACTATTTCCCCCCAACATTTTCTTTTTTTTTAAGTTGACAGCCATCGCCAGCGTTTTTGATAATTTTCAAAAAACTTTCATGGCCCCCAGAATATGTTGTTGTATAAATATCTGAATATTTAATAATTTATAATATATCAAAAGAAAGAACGGACCCTCTGTTTTGAACAACAAAAAAAACTTTTTTATCAACACTTGCATTAGTGTTGAAAGTGGTTAAAGCGTTAGTTCACCCAAAAAATGTGATTATCTCAGCTTTTTGCTCAAAATGCTGCTTTTTTATTAAACTTAAATGATTAGTTAAGCCCAAAATGAAAATTATGTAATTAATGACCCACCCTCATGTCATCCCAGGCCCGTAAAACTTCGGAAAATAGTTTATTTAATTTAATAATCTATTTTAGATTTAGTCTGAGAGCTTTCTGTCCCTATGTATGGTATACTGTCCTTGTCCAGAAAGGAAATAAAGACATCATCAAAGAAGTCCATGTGACATCAGTGGGTTAGTTAGAATGTTTTGAAGCATCGAAAATACATTTTGGTCCAATCTGCACTCCCGAGTCCGCAGTGGCATAGGTTGTGAGGTGATACTTGAAAGTATAGCATTTAACATGTTCGATCCGCGTTTGAATCCGTCTTTTGCCAAACTTGCTCTTTTCCCTTTTCCCGATAAAATAAATCAAACTAAAACAAACCAAAATCGAAACCATGATATGGCTTTGTGCCTTTATAATAAAGCAAAAGACTTTAAGTTTGCTCACACGATCATCATGGTGATCTGGTGTTTTCTCCAAAATAAAAGCTCAATGGTTTAATTCTTGCAAATGAAGAATTTAGGACAAAAGTATTGTAATTTTCCTATACTATAGTGTAATGTAAAATATACTGAAATATTCATTTTCATTTAAACAGTACATAGGCTATATGGATTTTATGTCATAGGAATAATTATATATTATATTATTATACTAATTGTTTGGCATCCTTTGGCACCAGAGATCATGTAATATAGACTGAGACTCTATATCATAACTAAAAGGATGTTTGAGCCCTCTTTAATGTTCAGGCACAAGTCGATGCTTTTTCTGTGTTCATTGTGCATAGTTCATGGGTTGAACCAGGTTAAAGCTCCTAATTTTGAGCTCTTAATGTGCACCAGATTGATGCATTTAACCTTAAAATGTAAGCAAAAAAAATAATAATTTCTAGGGAGCATCCTATAGGAACACACACTGTTCCTTCGTTGGCCTGGTTTCTCCCAAGGTTTTTTTTTTTTGTTTTTTTTGCCACTTTGGTTTTGGTTCCTTGCCACTTTTGCCTTGGATTTTGGCTTGCTTAGTTGGAGAAATTTAATATTCAACAATATTATTGATCTGTGTTATATTATTTTCATGTTATCACTGTGAAGCTGCTTTAATACAATCTGTGTTGTAAAAAACGCTATATAAATAAAGGTGCTTAACTTGAGTATACAGAAAATCCTGTAAATGGCGATTTACATGCCAAAGAAATTTTACTATAAATCAAATACAAATTATTCATGATATCAGACAACAATGACAGTATCAGAAACAACAATAGACAACAATGATAGTATCTAAAAGCCAGTGATGTTCAATTCTTCCCTAACACCACAGGGGCTGAGAGAATGTTTGACGTCATTGAAGACATGACAAATTCACGACCGAATTACATATTCATGCTGTGCTGGAAATACCTGACTCCTTTCGTGTCCCTTGTAAGTGCCTCTGCATTTCATTCATCTGCTTTATGTTTTGTATTTGTCAAAAAACCAACAAATCTCTCTGGTCATAATATAGTTCTCAACACATTCTCATCCTAGGGCATCAAATAATGACGCTTTTGACATTTCATCTAAATCCAATGCACATGGCACTCTTTAGCGTCAATGTAACACGCACAGTGCTTTGTTCGGTTATGGGTAGGTTTAGGTCTGGGGTAGGGTTAGACCACTAGGAGGCGCCTTCTGGCTCATACATACTGTATATATATATATATATATATATATACTATATATATATATATATATATATATATTACACACACACTACCGGTCAAAAGTTTTAGATCGGTAAGATTTTTTTTTATGTTTTTAAAAGAAGTCTCTTCTGCTCACCAAGGCTGCAATTATTGGATAAAAAAAAAACAGTAATATTGTGAAATATTATTACAATTTAAAACAGTGTTTTTTTATGTGAATATATAGTGAAATGTAATTTATTCCTGTGATCAAAGCTGAATTTACAGCATCATTACTCCAGTCTTCAGTGTTACATGATCCTACAGAAATTATTATAATATGATGCTCAAGAAACATTTATGATTATTATCAATGTTGAAAACTGTTTTTTTTTTTTTAGATTTTTATTTCAGGATTCGTTGATGAATAGAAAGTTCAAAAGAACAGAATTGATTTGAAATGGAAAGCTTTTGTAACATTAATCACTACCATTCAAAAGTTTGGGGGGGTCAGTAAGAATTTATTTTTTATTTTGGGGGAAAGAAATTAGAAAATACTTTTATTCATCAATGATGAGTTAAATTGATCAAAAGTTACAGTAAAGACATTTACAGTATAATGTTACAAAATATTATATTTTAAATAAATGCTGTTCTTTTGAACTTTCTATTCATCATAGAATTTGGGGGGAAAAATGGTAAATGACTGTTTTCAACATTGAAAATAATAATTTATGTTTTTTGAGCATAAAATCAGCATATTAGAATGATTTCTGAAGGATCATGTGACACTGAAAACTGATGTGTAATCAGCAACAGTAATGATGAGTATTCAGCTTTCAAATTACATTTTAAAATATATTAAAATAGAAAACAGTCATTTTAAATTGTCATAATATTTCACAATATTACTGTCATTTTCATCAAATAAAGCAGCCTTGGTGAGCAGAAGAGACTTTGTTTAAAAACATAAAAAATATTACCGATCTAAAACTTTTGACCGGTGTGTGTGTGTGTGTGTGTGCGTGTGTGTGTGTGTGTGTATATATATATATATATATATATATATATATATATATATATGCGTCTCAAATTGACGCTAAAAGGTGCCATGTGCGTTGAATGTAGACGAAATGTCAAAAGCAACAGTATATGATGCCTTGGGATGAGACAGTCGCTTCTTGCATTCATCTGATTTAATTATTCTGTTTCTTTTCTATTCATTCTTTACAAATTTTCTCTCTCTTCTGTCCATTTTCAGGTGTCTTTTGTCTGTTCAATGGTTAAGTACAAACCTCTCACTTTTAACCGTTGGTATGTATACCCAGACTGGGCGTACGCACTAGGTTGGTTACTGGCCCTGTCCTCCATTCTGCTGGTGCCTGGATGGGCGCTGATCCGACTGTTTACTGAGAAAGGAAGCCTAAAACAGGTGAGATTAAACATGATCAAGAGATGAACAAGCCACTGAGACATAATCAGAGCAGACATGTACTGTATATCTTTAACTATTCACCAAATCTAAACTGCATTTAAAAAACAAGAGTAAATCAACTAACAGATTAATGTTGTTTCACTGTGTCTGTTTCTTAACAGCGTTGGCGTCACCTGTGTAGTCCTGACACAAACCTCCCTTTTATCAGTAAGCAAAAAGCTGAAACGGAAGAAAACACCTTCATCACAGAGATGCAAGACTTAGTCAAGAGTGACACAAACTAAAAGATGCTCAACTCTTGCTATAATTTAGTGTTTTTTTGGTTTTTTTTTTTTTTTTTTTGTAATCTTTGTAATTTAATCAGCTATTCATGTCCTTGATAACAGCACACAAGGGTGCCTGAATTGCAAAATGTGTCATTGAACCGTTTTATTTTTCAAAATAATATCCCTCCAAAATATATTTCTTTGATAGCATAACTTTTTATATTAAAACATATAAGTATTTGTCAAGTCACCGTTATCTATATAGCACTTTTTGTGCAATATAATTTTTATTTTTCTTTCTTCTTTTCTTTCTTCTTTCTTTCTTTTGGGTTAAGCTTTCCGCAACTGGGTTTAGGTTGCCAGGGTGAGATGACAAACAGTTGAAATTGTATATGGTGTGTGGATATAATGCATTTAATCCAAAGATCTGGCAACTGGTCAACATTAGACAAACATATTGGTCCGATTATTCATAAAGGAGTTTGGGCCATGCAAATTACAGGAGTTTCCCGGGAGACCGGGAGGGGTTCGGGACATAGAGCTAAAAAACAGGAGAATCCCCGGAAAAATGGGAGTGTTGACAGGTATTCACAATATTTATCCAGTTCTATCTGGTTGGAGGTCGGAGCCATCATGCCGGTATGGAGATGAGTTTGTTGAGGTGTCCATTTTTTTAAGGTTTCTGTGAAAAATTATATGCCACTATTTTTAGGAAATGCACGCCGGTTTCGGTGGTGAACTTTTGTTAGTCTTGAGGTGCACATATTTAAAGTGGACTTGACTAGGTTGGTCACTTTTGAGCTTATATACAGACCTCCTATAACAAAGATTTTATTTGTGGAATTTTCTGAACTTTTATCCTCTATGACCACTTGCTGTGACAGCCTTGTTATAATAGGTGATGTTTTTTTTTTTTTTTTTTTTTATTCATACAGTATCTGCTGCCTAGATAGGCCCCTCGTACAAGATTTTGTAACTGTGTTAGATTCTTTTAACCTTATTCAGTCTGTAGTGGGATCCACTTACAAGGCCACACTTAAGATTTTGTCCCGGGCTGTTCCGATGTGCAAGCTTGTTCTAGAAAACATTGCCAAGTCATTGATTTATCTCCATCTTGTCATGGGTCAGATATGTTGGTGGCTAGTTTTAATTCGAAATGCAATGGTATTCTGGATTACTTAAGCAAAAACTGTATGATGACAGTTTGTTAAATCTGCTAAGGCACGATACTTTTCCGTTTTAATCACACAGAATCGTCTTTGCCCAAGAGTGTTATTTCAAGCAATAAATACAGTCCTGGACATTATAGGCCAAGCTGTTGTTGATAATACTGTGAGTTTGGGAAAGTTTTTTGCTATTTTTTTTCTTTTTTTTCTTCTTGTGGATAAAGATCACTGCTATTAAAACAAAAATCTCTAATTCTGTTTTGAATCCAGCTTCTCTATAGTTCAACCAAAATCTTGCACCACTGCCGTTATGTATGTTGGAGACTGTTTCAATATCTAATCTGCTAGAAGTTACAACATCTCAAGCCATCGTATTGTTCACTTGACGTTATCCCACCACGTTTGTTAATTCAGGTCTAGGATGAGTTGGGGTCTACGATCATGTCTATAGTGAATGAGTGTCTCGTAGAAGGTGTGTTCCCATCTTATTTTAAGCATGCTTTGGTGCAGTCTCTTTTGAAAAAAAAAAAAAAAAGCATCTTTTGCAGTGATTTTTTTTTTTTTTTTTTAAACCTGGTCTCATAAGTGGAGTGGAGTGGAGTGATCAAGGTTCTCGTAAGGGCAGGTGGAGTGATGGAGGTTCTCATGAGGGCAGGTGGACTGATAGAGGTTCTTGTAAGGGCAGGTGGAGTGATGGAGGGTCTGTGAGAGCAGGTGGAGTGATGGAGGATCTCGTGAGGGCTGGTGAAGTAATGGAGGTTCTCGAGATGGAGGCCAGTTGTACAAAAGGCCCGAATGCCTTTAAATGGCCTGGACGATTTCAACCAATCACAATCACGTACAAGGTTGCTATAGTGACATTCGTGCTGAGGTGAATTCAGATCGAGGGAGAAAGAAGATGCATCGTAAATGTTAGTGAAGATACTTGACAGTTTAGTTTAGTTAATCTGTAGTGTTCGACGATTATTCAGCTGGTTTACATATACATGAGCCACTGTGTGCGTACATACCAAGTAAGTTTATGTTTGTTCCGTTAGAATGCAGAAACTGCTAGACGATGTTCATCAGTGGGAGCGATTAGCATAAATCTGCCTGTATTACTTTCTGTTTAGTACTTTTTCTGAGTTTCTGCATGTTACTTTATGTTATGTAAGAGACATTATGTTATTATTGGTTGTACGGTTACTTTGGAGATGATTATCATGAGGTGATCAGCGTCGTATACTGAGCATATGGAATGTCTAGTTAAACGCATTTATGTGCTATTAGCGCCTTCTTGTGGCGATGTTTAGAATTATTCTGTCTGATAGCACTTCCTTAATGGGTTTGTTAGACTGTATGATGTTAATAATGTTTGTTATGTATGATGTTTATGTATGCTAATGTTTATTTCTTTGTTTAATTTGTTATAGAACCACACCCCATATGTAAATCAAGCTCATCAGTAAAGTGAAGTTTGAACCCTGCCTGGTGTGTCTGTTCAACTAAGCGTCATCTTATACAGTTCTGACCGACTGCCTGCTGCATTTCACATCCATTAAAATTAGTCTACTATTGGACCTCTTCATTTCACCAGTTTAGGTTCTTCATCTTGCCCTTTATACTCGTCCTTATGCCTTCTGCCAATGGCTCAATGCACAAGGCAAAAATCTGTGAAGAGAGCGGATCCCCCGGTTTACCCCTTGTTTTATCTGAAAGGGTTTCAATAGCGAACCAAGTCAGTCAAATATATTTATATAGCGCTTTTCACAATACAGAGCTGCTTCACAGTATCAATCAAGACAACATCACAGTGTTTGTTTATTCATGAAAAAAGACAATCAAGATGGGTAGAGCTGATCAATGGTATGATGGTTCATTTAATTTGAATATCCCCAACTGAGCAAGCCAAAGGCAACAGTGGCAAGGAACCAAAAAACTCCAAGTGACCCGATGGTGTCCTAAAACTCCATCAGATGATCCAATGGAGAAAAAAAACCTTGGGAGAACCCAGGCTCAGTCGGGGGCCAGTTCTCCTCTGGCGTTTATGAACTAGAGGCCAAATTTACAGTAACTGTAAGATAAAAAAAATTATATGAATGCCAGGCTAAATAAAATGCGTCTTTAGTCTAGTTTTAAACTGGGAGAGCGAGTCTGAGCAACGAACAATATCAGGAAGGCTATTCCAGAGCTTCGGAGCTAAATGTGAAAATGCTCTCCCTCCTTTGGTGGATCTGGATATCCTAGGAATGACCAGAAGCCTCGAATTTAGTGATCTTAAAGAGCGTGATGGATTGTAGGGTGATAGAAGATCTGTTAAATAGACTGGAGCTAAACCATTTAGAGCTTTATAAGTCAAAAGCAATACCTTGTAATTAATACGGAACTTTATAGGTAACCAATGAAGTGATGATAGAATCGGTGTTATATGATCATATTTTCTTGACCTAGTAAGAACTCTAGCAGCTGCATTTTGAGCTTTGTGTCCATGTTAACAAACACTACAAATAGGAAAAAGAGGCTACAATTTGCAAGTTTATCATTTACAGTTTCTCACCACAATTGGGCAGCTGAAGACTGGAAAAATGTTGCCTGGTCTCCATTTCTGTTGAGACATTCAGATAATATAGAGTCAGAATTTGGCATAAACAGAATGAGAACATGGATCCATCATGCCTTGTTACAACTGTGCAGGCTGGTGGTGGTGGTGTAATGGTGTGGGGGATGTTTTCTTGGCACACTTTAGGCTCCTTAGTGCCAATTGTGCATCATTTAACTGCCACAATACCTGAGCATTGTTTCTGACCATGTCCATCCCTTTATGGCCACCATGTACCCATCCTCTGATGGATACTTCCAGCAGGATAATGCACCATGCCACAAAGCTCGAATCATTTCAAATTGGTTTCTTGACCACGACAATGAGTTCACTGTACTAAAATGGCCCCCACAGTCACCAGATCTCAACCCAATAGAGCATCTTTGGGATGTGGTGGAACAGGAGTGTCGTGCCCTGGATGTGCATCCCACAAATCTCCATCAACTGCAAGATGCTATCCTGTCAATATGGGCCAACATTCCTAAAGAATGCGTTAAGCACCTTGTTGAATCAATGCCACGTAGAATTAAGGGGCAGTTCTGAAGGCGAAAGGGGGTCAAACACAGTATTAGTATGGTGTTCCTAATAATCCTTTACGTAAGTGTATCTTCAGTAAAACTTTTCTTTAATTTATTATAATTCCTACTCTTGTCTTAATGAATCAGTTCTGGTTCTGAGTCTTTGACTGTAAATCCCCTTCCTATTAATGGGGTTTACTTACCTCTGCTTCGCGTCGGGGTCCTCATCAGGGTTTTTTTTGAGAGAACAACTGGCTGGATGTACATTATCCCTTACATGACCCTACAATGGGTTGTATCGTCACACTACATAGGGTAAGTTGTCACAACATAACATGCTGGTTGTTGCTGATTTGAGAAGAATGGCCTAGTTTTAATGCAATGGGTTTTACAACTAGTTCTGATCTCTCCTAGCTAACTGACAAATAGAGAGTCAACCATCTATAAAGAACCGTCAGAGAGAAACAAGAAAAATTTTATGACGGGTAAGAAAACTACATTTTTACATATTCTGAAATAAGTGGTTCTTGCCTGTGCAAAACCTAATATTAAAGTTGAAATGTAATGGCAACTTTTAGTATTGCGACTTATTGTGTGACATATCCGAGCCTAGACAGCAATATAAGCTGGCCCAGATCCGGGCCACATCTGGTACACATGGATTCCACACGGCCCAGATGTGGGCCAGATCTGGGCCGACACTATGTTGCTGTCTGGGAGCAGTGTTGGGAGTAACGCATTACAAAAGTAATACATTACAGTAACATATTACTTTTTGCTGTAACGCAGTAGTGTAAGGCATTACTAATCAATTTTCAGTAATATTTTACTCGTTACATGTACAGTGAGGCTTGTATTACAGTTGTATTACAGTGTATTGTCTGCTTTTACTTCTTAAAGGCAACAGACTATGTGACATTTTTAAAGCAGTCTTTTAGTGCCAGTTCAGAGCGGTCGCGTCTGTAACGTTGTTTTTTCCTCATAAATGCGAACACGAAAACTAAAATAAAATGAATATTTTAAGTTCTATGGAGACTGGAGAGCCAACCCTTCCTCATCCGATTTGCGCAGTGTAATTAACAGAATTACAAAAAATATATTTTGCCTCCTATTTTTTTGTCACGCATGAATGTGTGTCTTTTCCCTAATATTAAAAATAAAAAATAGACTGATATTTGTCTAATGTCTGGAGTCCTTTAAGGAAGTAGCCTATATACGTTTCAATACATGTATTTTCTGTGAATTTTTATTTCAAGTTTTGACTGCAAATGTCATGTCCATAATGCTGGACTTCCCCAATTTTAAATAATTTATCCTCAACTTGTTTTGTGGTGTAGGTCTACGTATTTTATAATGTTAACTTCAAATAATACTAATAGCCTAATTTAAAGATAAGGCAGCATTGGATATGGACG